GCAAGTGGAGTAGACCTCACGAGCTCTTTGGGTTGCTCCGTGCTTACGCACCTCACTCGCTTCCGAGAGTTACATTCGTAAATTTTTGTTATGTTCACGTGGTGATATTATCTCTTTCTAAGAGTAATACCCCGTACGTAGTCTTTGTTTAGAGAGAGACTTGCAGTAGAGAGGTCCCTCACTTCGATTCTCGTCCAGTTAGTATCTCCGATCCGAGATCAGGGATTACGTCGTTAGGTCTTTTCTTTGGTTCGGAGCCGGCCGATAGCCGGTAATGGACCTACTTAGCTTATCAGCAGCAGAGCTCACCTTTGTTCTATTGGTTTGGTGGGTAGCTACCAAGATGATTTATTTATTCCCATCAAAGGACCTCGAGATGCTAATCCACAAAAAAATGATACAGGAAATGCGAAAGAACTCATATACGGAATGAGGGCGACTTGTAGAAATACATCAGTTTCTTACTCGTGCAAATGAACTATTTCTTGGCAACTTGGACAACTTATAACGATGTTTGTCCCACATTTCACTAGGAAGATCGGGATCTTTACAAAAGGCTTTATAACGCTTTCGTCTCAATTCATATTTAGCCGCGAACAATCTATGTTTGTGATCTCGTATATTTCGCTTCTTCGACCTCTTACTGATAATCCCCCTCATCTTTTTGCAAAAAGCCGCTCCACGATCGTAAAGTCTCATCTTGTGTGTTTCCCGAAGTGACAATGTCACATTAAACCCTCGAATATGCTCGAAGATCTCGGAATGATCTTCCAGTTTTGGGGATAATTAGCAAAACTCTGTTTCCATCGAGAATTGAATATGGTTTTCCCTTATTGTGACCAAAGAATCTAACATTACAGTCGAGATTCTGACCGAAAAATTAGACATTCCATGCCCTCGGAGAGTGCTTTCTCGTGCTAGGTCACTGACATATCCAATATCTTTTTCGGACCCCAAGAATTGATTGGATCGAAACGACTTTCTTGTCGAACCCCTTTGTGTCTGTACGAATCTCTGATCGTGCGGAATCTCCAGTGTCAATCTTCCATTTTTTATTCTGAAATCAGAGTGTGCCTTTGGAAGTACTTCAACTAATATTAGTACTTACTAATACTACTACTAAAACAAGTAGTAGTATTAGTACTACTAATTGTAGTAGTCATAGTACTACTAATAGTAGTAGTACTAGTATTACTATTGATACTAGTATAAATAGTGCAAATACCACTATTAGTACTACTATAATATTACAACTATTACAAATAGCAATAGTACTAGTAATATTAGTAATGCTAGTATTAGGTAATATTAATATTACGCACTGCATTAGTACTAGTAATAGTACAACTCCTATTGGTAATAGTAGTACTATTGTAGTAGTACTAATAATACTAATAGTAATATTAGTACTAGTACTATTAGTAGTAGTAGTACTACTACTATTAGTAGTTGTACGAGTAGTAATACTACTATTAGTACTATTAGTACTATTAGTACTATTACTAGTAGTAGTAGCATTAATACTAATACTAATAGTACTTAGTAATAATACTACTAATAGTACTAGAACTTACTAATAATATTACTCACAGTATTATTACTAATAATAATAATATTAATATTATTAGTACTACTAGTATAGTACTACTTAGTACCAGTACTAAGTACTAATAATATTTACTATTACTTCTGAGTAAATAGTAGTACTCGTAATACTAATAGTTGTACTATGAGTAGTAGTACTACTACTAATAGTAGTACTACTAGTAGTAGTTGTACTATTACTAGTTCTAATGCTATTAATATTACTACTTAGTACTATTACTAGTACTAGTAGTACTTCTAACAGTAGTATGATTAGTAGTCGTAATACTAGTAATAGTACTAGGTATAACTACTAATAGTAGTAGTATTAATACTACTAGTAATACTATTAATAGTATTAATACTAGTAGTACTAGTACTTACGATAATAATACTAGTATTACTATAGTAATAGTAGTAATACTTATTAGTACTACTAGTACTACTAGTAGTAGTAGTACGACTACTACTACTATTAGTAGTACTAGTAGTAGTATTACTATTAGTACTAATAAATAGTACTACTATTACTAGTAATAATAGTATTATTAGTACTAGTATTACTACTACTAATAATACTATTTCTATTACTACTAAAAGTAAGTATTAATAGAAAGTACTAGTATTATTAGTAATAGTACTAAAGTACTACTACTATTAGTACCAATAGTACTTGTAATACTACTCGCAATATTAATAATACTAGTAGTAGTACTACTACTAGTATTACTAGTATTAATACTAGTAGTAGTAATACTACTAGTATTACTAGTATTAATACTAGTACTATTACTACTACTAATAATACTACTTTTAGTATAGTTGTAATACTAGTATTACTACTACTATTAATATTAGTAGTACTAGTAGTACTAATATTAATACAGAAACTACTACTACTGCTAATAGTAATACTAATAATAGTACTAATATTAGTACTAAGTACTTCTAGTATAACAGTACTACTATTACTAATATTAGTACTAAGTACTTCTACTATAGCAGTACTACTATTAGTAATAATAGTACTTATTACTATGTAGTACTAATATTAATATTAATACTATTATTAGTAGTATTAATGTATTAATACTGCTAGTACTAGTACTGCAACTATTCGTAAACTATTACTAGTATACTATTAGTAGGATAACAATTAGTAGTAGTACTATTAGTAGTATTCGTACTACTAAGAGTAATAAGTAGTAGTAGTACTAGTATTAGTAATAATACTACTCCTAGTAGTGTATTACTAAGAGTATTAAGTAGTAGTAGTACTAATATTAGTAATAATACTATTCTAGTAGTATTAGTACTACTAGTACTTAGTAGTACTAATACTACTACTAGTAGTACTACTACTAGTAGTACTATTAGTACTAATAATATTTGTAGTATTATTAGTACTAGTAGTATTATTACTAATAACAACACTATACTACTATTAGTAGTACTAAGTATTGTTAGTAGTAATAGTATTAGTATTAGTACTAATACTTAGTATTACTAGTAGTACAATAGTAGTAGTAATAGCAGTGTTATTGTTATAGTACTAAATAGTATTGTAATAGTACTACCATTAGTAGTATTACTATTATTATTAGTACTAATAATAGTATTACTAATACTATTAGTACTACTTCTAGTAATATTAGTACTACTTAATAGTAGTACTAGTTGTAGTACTAATAGTATTAGTAGTACTAGTTGTAGTACTAATAGTATTAGTAGTACTACTATCAGTACAAATAGAATTACTAATACTAAGTACTACTAGTAATAGTACTAGTAGTACTTACTAGTATTATTAATACTATTACAAGTCGTACTAGTACTATTACTATTACTAGTGCTAGTGCTACTACTAAGTAGTAGTTCTATTAGTACTACAAATACTAGTAGTACTAAGTATTAATACTAGTATTACTATTAATATTACTAGTACTATTAGTAGTACTAAGTATTAATAGGAAGCGTGGCGAGGGTCTTTCATTAAGGGGAGGAAGAGGGGTGGGGTTTGTTCCATAGGGCCGCCTTGCGTAGCTTTGAAATGGAGGGAATTTCTTCAAGTCACTCTCGGAAACTCTTATTGGACGAGAGAGGGTTAATATGATATTTGTGTTGGTTATATCAACAAAATGAAGAAGTTTTGGGTCTTTATCATTTGGAAGGCTCAGTCCCACACTCTGACCTCAATGGTGGGAACAACCTCTACACTCCGGCGCTCCAATGAACAACAGTTCTCCGCCTTACTAAATTGAGAATAGTGGTTGATCTCAGTGAAGGCAGTGTAGGCAATGAGCGTTGCCAGTGGTATCCAAGTCTTGCCAAAGCCCTATTCTACTTTTGCTTTGGAAGAGAAAACTCTTGAGTGAGGGCTTTGACAAAACTTAGCAAAGCCATCCTCTCAAACTTGGGCTTTGACAAGACTTAGCAACATAGAAGCAGTCGTTGTTGAGGGCTTTTTGCTCTTGCAAAGTACAAGTTTGAGAGTTCTTTGCTTAACATAAAGAAAAAATCCCAGCTAATAGTTAGACCTTGCTACCACTGACAAAGCTCGTTGTTACCACTGGCAAAGCAAGAGCAAAAAGCCAGCAAGCGTTGGCTCGAAAGTCAAGAAGCAAGGGCGCTAACGCGTCGCTAGCGCATCTGTTTTCTTTGTTGGCTCGAAAGCAATACGCAAGGGCACTAAGGCGCCGCGCTGCCAGCACATCTGTTTTCTTTCTGGAGTGCGCTAGCACCCAACAAACTACAGCTCGAAAGCAAGAAGCTAGGGCGCTAACGCGCCGCTAGCTCACTTGTTTTCTTGCTTGTCTTGGCGCCTACGTGTGGGCTAACGCACATAGTTTTTGTCGGAGCTCGCGTGCCTAGCAAGAAAACGTATGAGCTACCACACAACGGCATTCGCACTAGCGCTCAGTAAGAAAATTGATGCACTAGCGCGTAACGGCTTTCGCACTAGTGTGCTCTCTCGCTGCTTGGTGTAGTTTTCATCACTTCAATAATGGGGGCTTTCACAAGACTTAGCGACCTTGCAGAGCGAGTGATTGCTTTGATGTGTAGTCAACGAGCACCGAGCGAGAAGATTAGTGGCAAGTGGAGTAGACCTCATGAGCTCTTTGGCTCGCTCCGTGCTTACGCACCTCACTCACTTTCGGGAGTTACATTCGTAACTTTTTGTTATGTTCACGCAGTGATCTTATCTCTTTCCAAGAGTACTACCTCGAACTTAGTCTCTGTTTGGGGAGATAGGTGCAGTAGAGAGGTCCCCCACTTCCATTCCCTTCCCGTTAGCATCTCCGATTCGAGATTAGGGATTACTCCGTTAGGTCTTTTCTGTGGTCCAGAGCTGATAATCGACCTACTTACCTTGCCAGCAGCAGAGCTTACCTTTATTCTATTGGTTTGGTGGGTGGCTACCAAGACGATTTCTTTTTGCCCATCAAAGGACCTCGAGATGCTAATCCACGAAAGACGATAAAGGAAATGCAAAAGAACTCATATACGGAACGAGGGCGACTTGTGGAAATACATCGGTTTCTTACTCGTGCAAATGAACTATTTCTAGGCAACTTGGACAACTTATAACGATGTTTGTCCCATATATCACTAGGAAGATCTAGATCTTTACAAAAGGCTTTATAAAGCTTGCGTCTCAATTCATATTTAGCCGCGAACAATCTATGTTTGTGATCTCGTATAATTCGCTTCTCCGACCTCTTACTGATAATCCCCCTCATCTTTTTGCAAAAAGCCACTCCACGGTGGTAAAGTCTCAGCTTGTGTGTTGGCTGAAGTGATAATAGTCACGTTGAACCCTCGGATATGCTCGAAGATGTCGAAATGATCTTCCAGTTCTGGGGATAATTTGCAAAACTCCATTTCCATTGAGAATTGAATGGGGCTTTCCCGTATTTTGATCGGAGAATCGAACAGAGACATTACAGTGGAGATTCTGATCAAAACATTAGACATTCCATGCCCTCGGAGAGTGCTTTTTCGTGCAAGGTCACTGACATATCCAATATCTTTTTCGGACCCGAAGAATTGATTGGATCGAAACGATTTTTCGGTCGAACCCCTATGTGTCTGTACGAATCTCTGACCTTGCAGAATCTCCATAGCCAATCTTATATTTTCTATTATGAAATTAGAGGGTGCCTTTGGAAGTACCACAACTAATATTAGTACTTACTAATACTACTACTAATACAAGTAGTAGTACTACTAATACTACTACTAATACTAATACTACTACTAATACTACTACTAATACAAGTAGTAGTATTAGTACTACTAGTAGTACGACTATTAATACTGCATTGTAGTACTAGTACTTAGTAATAGTACTAGTAGTAGTAGTAGTACTAGTAGTATTAGTATACTAGTACTACTACAAATAGTAGTAGTAATAGTACTTCTAAATGTAGTAGTAATATTATTACTAGTAATACTAAAACAAATAGCACTAATACCACTATTAGTACAACTATAATAGTTCTACTATTACAAATAGCAATAGTACTAATAATATTAGTTGTACCAATACTAATAATAGTAGTACTACTAATACTATTACATTAGTAATATTACTACTAGTAGTAATACTACGATTAATATCATTAGTAATAGTACTCAGTAGTACTATTAGTAAGTATTAGTAATAGTACTACTAATAGGTACTACTAATAGCAGTAATAATAGTAATAGTAATACTAATAGTAGCACTACTAATCATAGTACTTGTAGTAGTAGTAATACTAATAGTAGTACTACTACTAGTACTAATATTAGTAGTACTAGTATTATTAATACTAGTCTACTAGTACTAGTAAGTACTACCAGTACTTACTACTATTAGTACGAGTATTACTACTATTACTAATACTAGTGTACTACTATTAATAGAAGTACTACTAAAAATACTAGTAGTACTACTACTACTTAATATAATACTACTAATACTAGTAATACTACTAGTACTATTAATAGTACAATAGTAATATTAGTAATAAAGTACGAATAGTAGTAGTACTATTAGTACTACTAAGTACTATTAATACTACCAATAGTAGTAGTACTATTAGTACTACTAAGTACTATTAATACTACCAATAGTAGTAGTACTAATACTAATAATAGTAGTAATACTATTCCTACTATTAGTAGTAGTGCGAGTAATAATACTACTTACTACTAATATTACTAGCAGTAGTACTTTTACTATTGTTATTAATATTAGTACTAGTAGTACTAATACTACTATTAGTACTAATATTAATAATAGTTGTAATACTATTAGTACTACCTACTACTAATAGTACTACCTACTACTAATATTACTAGCAGTAGTACTATTACTATTGTTATTAATATTAGTACTAGTAGTAATAATAGTATTAGTAATACTAGTAATAGTAATAGTACTACTTGTACTGGTAGTAGTAGTACTACTACTAATAGTACTAGTTAGTACTACTACTAGTAGTAATAGTACTACTATAGTAGTAGTACTACTACTAGTACTATTAGTAATACTACTACTAGTACTTCTAATACTACTTATGTGGAGGTTTTTTTTGGAAAACGATTTTTGAAAAGTGTGTAGGTCTTATAGTTTAACAACTCTTGACCTTTGATGGACATTGAAGTAGTATCAAGGGAATCACACAAGGTGGGGACATTTTCCTACTGGTTCTTTTAATTTCCTATAGCATGAAGATGTCAAAACAATGGGTTCTTCTAAATGAGATTGCCATGGGATAGCTATGATGGACACTCTTCTAACATAGTGCAGACACTCCATTTTTCAATTGGCACATTTTGTGATGTTCTAGATAGTGACCTGAGAGAGCTCATAGGACCACATTGTTTAGTACCCATACTGTCAACACTGTAGTGTATAACTAATAGTACTACTAAGTACTATTACTAGTAGTAGTACTTAGCAGTAATAGTACTATTATAATAGTATTAGTAGTACTACATTTATTAGTACTACTATTACCACTACTAATAGTACTACTACTATTTGTAATAGTCGTACTATTATAGTAGTGCTAATAGTATGTAATATTAGTACTAGTACTAATAGTAGTAGTACTACTACTTCTATTAGTAGTAGTACAAGTAGTAATACTACTATTAGCACTATTACTAGTAGTAGTACTATTACTACTTATAGTAATATTACTAATAGTACTACTATTACTAGTACTACTATTATTAGTAATAGTAGTAGTCTTATTAGTACTAATACTAGTAGTACTTAGTACTAGTACTACAAATAGTCTTAGAACTTAGTAATAGTCGTACTCATAGTATTAATACTAATAGTAATAAGAGTAATATTATTAGTACTGCTAGTACAGTACGACTTAGCACTAGTACTAAGTACTACTAGTACTAGTACTTACTATTACTACTAAGTATTAGTAATAACATTATTAGTATTAGTACTACTAGTATAGTACGACTTAGTACTAGTACTAAGTACG